TATGAATCTTATCAAAGTTGGTATCACCCAAAAACAAACCTTTTGAATTTTTATATATCTTCTTGTGAGATTCATGGACTGATATATCAAGGAATGATTATAGGATTCGTATACAATCTTGTGAACTGTGAAGAGAGAAGAATGTACGATTATAGTCTAGCCAAATGCGAGAAAGCCGAGCGGTACGTGTCGCCATTTGAAGTTGACATAATGGAACCGTCCAGGGACGAGCGACCGCCTCAGATACCATCTGTTTTGTTTCGGTTTTGAAACGTTGAATGTTTTGGTTGATGCGAAACTCAGCTTTAGTTGGGTTCTCTCGAAATGGACAGGAAATGGAAAGAAATAGACGTTTCTTTTGGTTTCTCTTCCCATACAAATGTTTGGTTCTTACTCTTGGATGCTTCCATATTGGTGCTTTTAGAATATGATGCTCTTTAGGAATAAATTTCTGAAGCTATTGTCTTTAGAATATGATATTTTTAGCATATCAATGTAAGCCAGGAAGTTCGTGTATCTTACATTACGTCATGTGGTCTGTTATAGGTTGAACGGTTTGATTGCTTTGGCAAAATTATCTGCTGGTCTCGAGAGGCTGAATCAAACCAAAGGAGAATGCCATCAATTAAAACTTTTAAGCGGTTTGAGTTTAGACGAAAACTACAGTTATATGCATAATCTCCACAAAGCAGTCCTTGTCATGAACATTTTAAACCAAGGTCAGAAAAATCAAGAACTCTTTGTCATGTAATCTCAATTAAAACAAGTTTTTGATCAGGCATATAGGTAAAGCAAGGAAAAAAGGTTGATGATCCTATTCTCTATTGTTTGTAGCTTATATACTAATACATTTCATGTTCCCCATATCCAGTTAATCAAACTAATTACTCAAATGATCATATATGTAGTATATAAAATAATATGTTCATCTCAGATTTTCTCTCCCAAGTCGAGGCCGTTGGTAAGGATTGTGTTGTTTAAGTAAGACAACTCTTGGATTAAGTTATTTTAGAATAGGTTTCATAAGTAGGTATAAGTGGAGTTGTTTTATGTATGAAATTGTCCAACATCTATCCTTTTTTATGTTGCGTACTGCATAAGGAAGTATGTAGAAAGACATAGTTTTAATTTATGTTACAGGAACTGCATGGACATCGTCTTAGTATAAGACATCACTAAAGACTGGTTTTGTATGAGTTGATCTGGCGTTTTTTTAAAAACTATTTGAGTGGATTTGGTCTTTTCCTTTTAAAGAATACTGACAATGGTGGCTTAGGGATGAGATGAAAATGGACGTTGGTGTTAAGGCTGAATCTGATAAGGTAAAATGGCCAAACTATTTCTTGATTAAACACATATTTCTTTAATTAATTTGTTTATTGTTGGTGTTCAAAAATCTTCTGGTGTAGTAAATCCTTTCGGAAATGGTTTCGAGTAAAACATTTTTGGATTTTTTTTTTATCATAAGTCATAACTGCTTATTATCAGGGGGTTGTACGAAGATTTACTTGCTAAATATAAACCACACAAAAAAAAAATCGATTATGATTACCCAATGGATACCCAGATTTTAGGTCGGTACTTGAAATTCATATACTCAAAATATTCGGAATGGATAAATATATCTTAATTTTACTTTTGTGTGTTCGGTGATGGAAAACTAATGCTTGTAACATTTAGAGGAAAACAATTATTTAATCATATGTAACACACATATAATGAAGGTGAATATGATCTAAATAAATAAGAAGGCATGTCTACAAGGGGAAATCGTTACATGAAATACAGAATGCATCTGCATATTTACACTACAAAAGCAAAGGTAGAGAATGTTAGAGAAGAGAATTTGAAGATAAAGCTCTTACTCTACGATTTTTACTGAGTACAACTCTCGACAAATGCATGACTCCAAACAACAAGATGAATCTTCAAAAATTAACTATCATGATGCTTTTGGTG